GTAACAAATCGCAGGCATCCCTCCTCGCCTCCGCAGCTTCGGCTTGTTGGTCGCCTTCGGCGACCAGCCTTAGTCGCTTCGGCTCGTCCGATGCCTACGATTTGTTACAGCAGGCGGAGGCTGCTCCCTCTACGCGCCTCCGGCTCTATAAAACCACTCTAGGGGTAGGACAGACTCGTACCAGGTGGAGTCGGGGTCAATCAATTCGGTTCTTTGACATAAGTTGAACCTAACCTATTTTATTTGTTATCTGCCCTAATAGGTACCGTTAAATAAAACAAATTTCAATAAGAGATCATTTATCATGGCATCTTTCTTGTTTTTCATAAAATGGGTTTATATTTACATTATATTTCTATATATATATATATATTTACAATATATATAGAAACATTAAAAAAATATAGATATTTTAGAAATCGATTTTTTGTGAACCGATACATCAGCTTACGATTTGAATCAATTTAAAAATCGACCTTTTCGGAAAGAATCGACATCCCTATTGACGTCGACATTGACATTACAAAATGGCGCCAGTTTTATGGTAGGATTAGACATAAACGTTGCAAGAATAATTGATTTTCAATAATTCTTTTCTCAAAAATTACGCGTTTCCGCGTGTTGAAACTTTCTTTGGGTGTGTGCTTATAATAGTGTAACTTTTCTGTAAAAATGCGTATCAACACCCAACTCGACGGACGTCAATGGAAAGCTAAGACTGGATTTCTAATATTTACGCGGACACTACACATCAATATCAATAGTTATATAAAATTGTAAAAAAATTGTTTACCTATTGAAAATAAGTTTCAATAAACTGTCTTCTCCTAATATTTCCTCTTATTGATTGTGGAATATATCTTTGTACTATAGGTTCAGATGAATATTGTTCAATGCTATCTCTCACCAGAAAATACATCTTCTCTCATGTCGATGGCCATATTGTGTAGTACAGCACATGCAACAATTGTTTATTTGCTGTTTCAATATCTCCAAACATACCTCTTAATAGGCAATGAAACCGTTGCTTTCACAAACGAAAACATCTTTCCACCGTGTTCCTGGTACGGATATGGCTCCTATTATATCTTTCTTCTTGTGGTGTTGTGGGGTTTAGCAGCGGTGTAAATAGGTAAGGAGTACAAGTATAGCCACTGTCACCTAATAATATTCCAGAGAATGCACCAGCCTCAAACCTCTGTTTTAATCTACATTCTCGGAATATTCTGGAGTCATGTACACTGCCACGCCACCTGGTAACAATGTCCATGATTTTCAGGTCAGCATCACAAACCACCTGAAAAATGGGAGCTCATTAGTACTTTATGTTTTTCTGGTATATTTTAATATTAATACTACCATAAGACAGTCAAAAAAATATTTTCTATTATGCTAAAGTAAAGTTATAAGAGAAAATTACAGCTATTTAAAATATTGTATATATTTGTATATCACCTGTACATTAGTTGATGAAAATCCTTTTCTATTAATATATAACTGACCCCCATAAGTATTTACTTTCTTTACTCTTATGTGAGTATAGTCAATTGCGCCAATTACTGTAGGAAAATTAGCAAAACTGCGAAATTCGCTAATGGTTTCCTGCTGTTTTTTACATGTCCTACTGACTACTGGTTGAGACACACCATGTAAATCAGCTGTATCGTCATGAATCTACGAATAAAACAATAATATGTATCTTTTGGTTTTTTATCTAGCGTAATGTTAGGTACATTGACCCCACCAAGATTATAAATAGCACTTACTTCATGGCGAGCACAGTTGCGTAATGCACAAACCACTTGAACTTCAGGACTCAATGGGCATCCTCGAGGGTCATGCACTAAATCCTCACGTAAAACACCGACTATTTTTTTCCGAAACGTTTTGAGAACCTATACTTATACCTAAAATCTTCGTCACTCAATTCGAACGGATTCACACGATGTCGATGTCTATCAGGTCGCCGAGTGGTCTCTAGCATGTCTAAATCTTCTAAATCCATCAAGTCAATCATGCTAATATCCATTTCTAACGATTTTAATAACACCAAATGAAAACAACGTTAGCGTTGTTTTCATTTGGTGTTATTAAAATCCTCAATTTCGGTAGGTAATTCTCAATTTGAGGTTAGCCTCAAATTAAGGAGTACCTACCGAAATTGAGGTTAGTATACTACCATAAACTATATAAAAAGGTTAGTACCATAGCTAAACTAGGGGTCTTGGAAGTTTAACTTTGAATCCGTGAACCAGAGATAATCTTCGTTTTGTAGTAACGTTTTGCTTAGTTTATGGTTTAAATCTATTACTAATTCCATTACTATATTTAGTCCGTGTTTTGGAATAAGGCGGAATATGTATAATACGCATTTTAGTAAAACATGGATAAGAAAACAACAAAGGTATATAGTTTCGCAAAAATGTCAATTTTCTCGGTGAAGATCCAACTCGCGTTGCTGCTACAAACCGTTTAAGGCTGAAACAAACGCCCAGTCCTTGAGCTATTACGGCTTATTCAAATCCTCTATCTCCTACAGTAAAGTAAATATTGAAGACTTAAGTCTACGCTTACAATTTTCAGCAATCGCGTGAGTCCACGTAAGGTCTGCCTGTGTAACGCCATGCTGGTGTGTGTCGCGGTCTAGACAATTGAAAACTGTATGTCCTTGCTGATCAGGTTGGTCACGCCAAACATCTCGATGGTCGTTGTTACATGTTAAATTATTTTTTCTTTTGTTGTTAATATTTTTATGGTCGATGCAACCAGATATAGTCATAAGTCAATTACTATTGTCTACATATTCAGCTTTTTAGTACGGGACATGTGTTCACTTGTGAATTAAAAAAGCGGTCATTCGCCTGTGCGAGCTTTGTATGTTGACTTGGAAATTCTGGTTTCTTAGAATATCATTGCCTACTTTATCTATCTTGGTCTATAGTGATCTTAAGCGTGACTGCTGATTATGAGGTCACAGGATCGAATCCCGGGTCGGACCGAAATCTGTAATGGGGTTTATCTGTCAAAAAATTCTCAGTAACAACTCGTAGTTAGGAAGTTGGTTGTAGTTCACTTCCGCACCTTGGACAACACATAAAGCCGATGGTCCACGCGAGATCGCGTGATCTATTTTCGGTCGTGTGAGATTGTCGTCAATTAGAATAAGTTGAAAATTAGAATAAGGGTATATGGATTGCACTTTACTTGCTATAATCCTTTCCTGCACATAGTGAGGCTAGTCCTCGTTAACACTGGTCGCCATGATTGAAATGCGGTCTGGAGTACATTACTATTTCTTAAATTACTTTATGTTGTTTTATTCCGCCATCTTAACCAACACGCACAAATTTATTAAAATATTTAAAGTTTTTAGTACAAGAAGCAAGAAGTAAGAAATAAGGAAGCGAATACACTTTATAATTCATTTTTATAATAGATTCAAAATAGAGTTATAAATTCTTTTGCTTTTAATTTTCAATAATTATCCTTTAGCCGGCGATTTTTCATGTTATCTGTCATAAAATTTTGTTTTGCGTATTCAATCGTACAGTAAGAATGTCACGGATAAAGTTTTCCAAGTCTGTAGGATATAAGAGGTCAAAAATATTTATTTACTAGCTTTCCGCCCCGCGGTTTCACCCGCGACTTAATGATTTGGATTTTTCGACTGGAACATGAAAAAAGCGTGCTAAAAATAGGTAAAGTCAGGAAAATAATTTTGTCAGTAAGAGCACCAGAATCCTACTGCAATACGTCTCTATAGACGACATTTCTATACTTGTTGTACTCTGCATAAATGTAGAGATTTTTGGCCCTCGATACACGTGAGCAACCGACGTAGAGCTGCCCGTGTGAGAAAGTGCCTTCTTAATTCAGTTATTCGTAACCTGGTGCCATTACATAATCCAGGTTTCTCATCAGTATAGCAGGCACTCCAACTTTTAGCTCTAACTTATGGGACGGCACCCCTGACAGCTCCAATGAATTTAAAAACTCTACTGGATATGTAGTTGAGTCGTCACTTGCCATAACTGTATCGATGGAAGTATATGTCGTGACCCACCATTTACTAAATCAAGGATTTTTATTTTTCCCACCGATTCATTCTTAGGCGCCATAATTGCTCTTTCATATAACCATTCTTCATTGACGATGTTTTGTTGTAAGTTTGGGAAAACCTTAGTGATTAGGTTATCCTCGGAGCTTACAATATTGCAAAAGCGGGTCTCAAATTTTATCATCCGTTGTCATGTGGCCTTCGCCAATATCGATGAGGTTTTAAGCAAAAACACCAGACTCATGATCATTGTAGAGCTGTACTCTCATATTTGTTGTGAGATGCATTCTCTCTACTTTTGCCCACAACGGCGAAGCCTTGAGGCACGCGTTGATCCCATTTGCCGCAGTACCTCGGTCAATACCCGGTAACGTTTGCCGGAAATTGCCTGCAAGCAAGACGACTACTTCACCTCATTCATCACACATCATTGCCCTTGTTGATGTATTTACAAATGTACTTAATGGCCAGAACCGAGTTACAAAACTCGACATTATTATGGGCATCAAAAGTTTTGGCAAGTAGCGGTGAGTATGGGACCACTCATATGTTGTCAACTACGACATCTTGGGCAGTATCTTTAATTTTAATTGTAACCACACGTCCACCATCTTCGGGCGCTCTTCGTCTGTACAGTGGATTGTCATTTGTTTGTGTCTATTTTAGCAGCCCCCGAGGATACTTTTTGGTACACTTTCCGTCTTTCATGCATGGGGACGAAGGGTTCAGGCTTCCGCAAGGACCGTTAAGCATACTCTTAGTGATTGTATCGTAGATTTGTTTATCCACTTCAAGGTCGGGCAACTCTGCTGATATCACATCATCAATTTGGTCCGGCTGCAATTTTTCTTTTAGCCACAGCAGCAAGTGCACGTGTGGCAAGCCACGCTTTTGCCACTCAATTGAGTACATGAAGCACTTTAACTCGCCAAAAGCATGCCCTTTATGTGAGGAGGGCCACCAGTTTTTGAACTTTAATTCTAAAAACCCGTGCTACGATATCGTGGCGGTCCATTGGCTTTTGCCCTATCATCATTTCTTCTTTAATCTCTGTCCAGGTTGGGTTGCACGTGAAAGTGATGAATAAGTCCGGCCGCCCATATTTTCTGACGTAAGTGAACGCATCCTGGGTATATTCATTGAGGTATCGTGGACTATTTTTAAACGATGATGGAAGAATCACCATCTGTCCTAGGTCGTTCGGATTCACATTACCATCATTTGCAATGGCATCTTGCAAATGGACATAATTTTCTGCATGCAACTTACTTTGGTTCAATGATATAAATCTAAGACGCTCACTTTCCATCTACGTCTACTAAAAATTGAGACAGAAGCACCCTACACCTCAGTAATAGGTTGAAATCGTGGTCTCGGAACATCAGGTGAAAAGAATAGTAAGCCCAGTTTCTGGATTCATTTGGGAGATATTGAAATGATATCCTTCTTGCCCTTTCCAGAATATAAGTGGATATTGAAAAGCATCGTAGAAGCGGTGCGTATCGGCAATCCTGGTGAGGGAGTCATCGCACTTACGTAGGACGATGTCCCTTGGCGCGGTAGGGTCGGCGCCCGTTACTACAGCCACCACCTCGGTCACAACTGGTGTATTGAAGCGGCGCGCGTGCTGTCCACTCGGCACGCGGTCCGCGTGGATAATCACCTTGCAGATATCGTCTGGCATATTCTCAAGAGCTGTTTTAAATTCGGGCATCAACACGTTGTGATCATTTAAGACCTATTGGATTTTAAAAAACATTTGCTCGGTCGACTCCCAGAATAATTTCACACCGTCTTTCAGCCTCTGCCTCATCATCTCCTATGAAGTAAAGTTACAAAATTGAGTTTGACGATCGGACTGTGGTAAAAGCGAGCCTATTTTGTGATGCACTTACACTTGTACTGTGAAATTTGGTGAAAATCCAGACATCGCCAGAATTTTATCTGCCCCAAAAGAAGTCTTGTGAAAACATGAATTGTATTTTTTATTTGATTAAGGAAGCGCCGTGTCTCATCAGTTTCACCAGAAAATAATATCTTTAAAGGATGGACTGGCTCCTCTATTGTGAAAATGACTGCCATACCTCCTGAGCAACACATTACAGCTGTTTCCTCTTTCCGTTTCAGGGCTGCACAAAATCTCCATGCTTGGTTCATTCGCTCAATTTTAATGAGCCTGTGATTACTGTAATCTAATCCGAGATCGTATTCGAAAGTACATTTTTCGAAAACTCTTCAGTTATTTCTGACTAATATTTCTCGACGTTCTGCTTGTTGTTGAGCAACAGCGTATCGTCGCGAGTCCGCCTCTTCAGCAGTCTCAGAGGCACGCTGAGAAGCCATACGCTGTGCATATAAAAGACGTCGTGTTGCCGACTCTTTAGCAGTTTTAGAGGCACGCTGAGAGGCCCGCTGAGAGACCATACTCTCTGTATTTACTAGACGTCGAGTTGCCGCCGCTTCTGCAGTCTCAAAGTTACGCTGTGAGGCCATGCGTTCTGCATTATCCGAACGTCGGGCATCAGACTGCGCTAGTGTCGGCTGAGAGGCAATGCGTTCTGCGTTATGCTGACGGCGAGCATCAGTCTGCGCTGGTATTTCACCCTCTCGAGCATCTCTCTGTCGCTGGGACTGCGAAATTCTACGCTCTTCGGCTTGCACTGATGACTCCTGTTGTCTAGCTACCTTCATAGCTCGAGCTCTGTGAAAAATTAGACTTGCGTTTGCGAGTCATAGCGAGTTTTTTAATTAATAATACAGTACCTACCTACAAAATAAATCTAATATGTCGAAATGACAACCTTACCTACTAATTATCCTAAACTTAATTAATACACTAACTAAATCAAACTTAAATCAAATGATTACCTACTAATATTTCTTTGATGTAACCTTAATACTCTTATCTTACTATTAAATAAACAATCAAAATCTTACTATCAATTCCAAATTCCAAAACCAACCTTAGGTATACGTACTTATTGTATGTTACTTATTTATTAATAGAATAAGAATGCAGCCCACAAAAAAGCTTTGTATATTTTGATGCAACAGGTGTAAATAAAAATTGTTTACACCTGTTGCATCAAAATATACAAAGCATGATGGGCAAAGAATTAGAAGTTGTATTGTTTTTAAACAGTAACAACATACATATCCTTTGTATTACTGAAGATTGGCTAAAAGATTATAATTTCATGTTTAATTTCAGAAATCACCAGGTGGTCAGTTCCTACAATAGAGAAAAAAAAGTTTACGTGGTGGCTCCTTAATACTAGCAGATAAATCACTATTATATAAAGAACGTAAGGATATATTGAACCCCTCTGTTGAGCGAACTGTAGAAATGGCTTGTATCGAGCTCGAGCACCTCATTGTTGTAAGTGTTTACAGACCCCCATGTGCTACTTATGACTATTTTGAAAGGATTGTGGAAGAAGTTTTGCTCAAACTTAGTAAACAGAACAAGTCTGTTGTAATATGTGGAGACTTTAACATCAATCTCCTTGAAACTTCTTCCATTAGTATTAAGTTTAGCTTATTGTTTAAATCGTATAATCTAGTTAATTTATTCTTAGAACCAACACGTATTGCTGGGCCTAGTGCGACCTGTATAGATAATATTTTTACAGATGTAAAGCCCTTGCATAAATCAATTATTCAAAATTTAAGTTCAGATCACTGTGGGCAGTGGGTATCATTGCCTTAAATACACAAGACACAGAAAAACAAAAAAAGTTGTGTTTGTTCCAATAAATGAACATCGCATGGAGAGGTTTAGAAGTAATATAATAATATGACTTCCATCACTTTCATATAAAAACAGTGCTAATTATTTGTATGGTACGTTATTTAAAATTATAACTTGTGAACATTTAGTAGGATATTTACTTCTAAAACTTTCTCTTTTAACAGTCGCAAATCATTTAATGAATGGGCGACAGTAGGAATTTATAAGAGTAGGCGAAAGTTATACGAGCTTTAAGTAAAGTTAAAAGTAAAGGCTTATTCAAATACTTTTCAAATAAAGTTATTTTATCTATAATAGATATAATAGCACCTTATCTAGCCACTATATTTAATACAAGCGTCGAATCTGGTGTGTTTCCTGATTTAATGAAACATAGTAAAGTCATACCTTTATTTAAATCTGGTAGAACATTAGATCCCGCCAATCTTAGACCAATTTCTGTACTACCAACATTTAGTAAAATTTTTGAAAAAATAATTTTAGATCAGATGTTAAGTTTCTTTAATATTAATAAATTGCTACATAGAAATCAATTCGGTTTTACAAGGGGTCGCTCGACATCTGACGCTGGAGTTAGCTTATTAAACATATTTTTTTGCATGGGAGAATTCAGAGGATGCTTTGGGTATATTTTGTGACCTTTCCAAGGCCTCTCCTGTACTAATGGGTGTCCCTCAGGGCTCGATTCTCGGCCCATTTCTATTTCTAGTGTATATTAATGACTTACCTTCTCTTGTAGAGGATAATCATGATATAGTATTATTTGCTGATGATACTTCCTTGATTTTTAAACTTAAACGTCAATCATTTAAATGTGACGAAGTGAATAATGCTATATCAAAATTAGTGCAATGGTTTAACGTTAATAATCTACATTTAAACTAAATTTTTTTATTGTATTAAATTTACAACAACGAATGTTATAAATCTGAGTACCAATGTGTTTTTAAATGGGGAAGAACTTAGTGCTGTTGAATCCACTGTTTTTCTTGGCATCACTCTCGACGAAAAGCTTCAGTGAGTCCCCCATATATCCAAACTAGCAAGCAGACTAAATTCTGCAGCCTATGCTGTAAAAAAGATTAGAGGTCTCACTAGTGTCGAGACAGCTAGATTAGTTTATTTCAGTCATTCCATAGCATAATATCTTATGGGATTTTGCTATGGGGAAATGCGGTTGATTCAGAAACCATTTTTGTTTTACAGAAGAGGGCTTAGAGTTATTTACAACCTAAAACCGAGAGTCTCTTAGAGATAAATTAAAAGAAATAAATATATTAACTTTGGCCTCTCAGTATATTTACGAAAATTTAATGTATGTTCACAAAACTACGGTAGTTTTAGTAAAAAAAGTGATATACATTCTGTAAACACTAGGAACAAACACAAGCTAGTGATACCAATTTCTCGACTCCACTAAGTCAGTAATTCATTCTTGGGGCAATGTATACGCTATCACAACAAAAGTGTACAGGCTCTCTCTATTAGCAAGTTTAAATGTTTTGTTAAGTTGAAACTGTATAAAAAGGGTTATTATAGTATAAATGAATACATGGTTGATAATAACCCCTGGAAATGAGGTGATCGCTTCCAAGCTGTTTCTAAAATAAATTTTGTACTTATATAATTTGTACAACCATTATTGTAAAATTTGCTTTAAAAAAAGTCCCGCTGGGTTTCTTGCTGGTTCTTCCCAGGACAGAGGTTTTTTTTTCGAACCAATGGTAAAGTAAAAAATGACTTTCAATAAGAATTACACATGTGATCTATATTGAATAAAAATTATTCTATTCTATTCTATTAAAAAGTTTTGTTTTAAGTTTTGTGACAGTGAGCTCAAGCCGGAACTATAAAAAAAGGTATTTCAGATTTTATTATTTAAAGTTTGCAATACATTTATTTTCTTTTAAGTATTTAGTTGAACATACAAACAACATTATATTTACAGGTGCAACAGAACAGACCAGAAAAAATATACAAATTGGATCAGTTAGCTTTGGAGTGAGGGCACGAAGTGATTCGCTTACCACCTTACCATTGCCAATATAACCCAATTGAAACAAAAACAGCACTTTTAAAATTGCAGACGTAGAAGTGTTACTGCGTGAAGCAATTTCAAACGTTTCGCAAAATAACTGGGAAGATTATGTGAAGCATGCAGAAAAACTCCAAGAGGAAGGCTTGAAGCAATCTCATCTGGCAGAAGACACCGTATTTCATGTGGATGACGATGACTTTGATGATTCGGGTGTAGAATTTTAATGTAAATAGTTTTAGATTTAATTTTAGATATAACTTATTATCTTTATATTTACATTTATTTTAATATAACTTGTAACATTCCAAACATTTGTACTAATAGTTTTTTTTTAATACATATATACCTAAATAATAATATATTTAAATCATTATTATTCTGATTTTAATAAATACGT